GTGTTATATGATTCAGTGGGACATCACATTGGTGTGTTTGTAATGTCTGTAACAAGACTGAATTTAACACTTTCTCAATAAATGTACAATCGAGTTATCCGTTAGCAGTTTTGCTGAATATGGAATTGATTTAAAATCTGCCTCGACTATATCTCCAAGAGTTCATTTTGAATTCAGCTTGGGTCATGGCATCGATTAGTGCCTTTAGATTGACTGTGTTGGCGTGTTTCTGTAGCTGAGGACAGTCGCGGACATTCGATTAGTTGTGGAGTGGAAAGCTCAAGATGCCCCGCAGTCAGTGTGCTTCCCTCATGGAGGAGCAATCCAACATCTGTCCTTGGGAAGATAACCCGGTAGAGGAGACATCTTTATAAATGTAGTAAGGGAATATGAAACACTGCATATTTTTAGTAGTAAGGACATGGACTGGTCTTGAATTTTAATGTATTTCAGGTACTTGTGTGGCTTATTGGAATGGCTGGAGGATTAGATTGCCCTGTGATGAATCACATTAGCAAACCTCCGAGAAGATTTTCAGCTCTGTTTTTGTTTCAGGCTATAATGTGGTCCACTGAGCTATACACAAATGTTGATGGTGCCAACCTCTTCAGTTTGGGTTTTATCGTTTGTGTGCCCGAAGTCAGCCCACATATCCTGAGATGATACCATGACATACTTGCCCATTCAACTCCCTCCCTCAAAGCCCACCCCCATTTTCCCTGTGGAGATGCATGGATGAGCAGGCTTATTCTCCTTGTGGGGTGTTCCCCATGCATGACTGATGTTTAGATTAATATCCTTGACTGATTCCTGCTCTGCGGTGAGGAGAGGAGTAGGCCTATCATAGCACAGCCGCCCCCTCAGGAGGCCATTGATTTTCGCACCATCCTGACAAACATAAACCTTCTAGACCCACAAGATACTTTATTTGTTGTCCATTTAGATGCCATCTCCTCAGGCCCTGCTGTCCTTATCTGTTTTATAAAAATAGCTCTTCTTTTTTATTGCAACAGACTTTGTTGAATAGAGACTGTTTTTTTTATACACTTAGGAATTTGAATGTTAGCACTATTTAAATGGTGAAAATGTAAACAATATACGCACTGCTTCAAACATTTGTTTGTTTATGTATTTGTTTTTATTTGGAGCCCCCATGTGGAGTTTCCCCTGTAGCAGATCTAATCCTCCAGCAGTCCACACAATACACTTATATGAATCAATATTTAATAAACAGAACTAAAGAAAAACAATTAAAGCAGTTAAAAGTATATTGAAATAAATTGAGGCAAAACAAATAAGCGTAAACATTAAAATGTATTTTATTTATTTAAATGATGAACAAATTATGACATTAAAATGTCATAATTTGTCTGCAATCCTTAATAATATTGCACATTGAACAGCTACAAAGCTAGAACCTAATAGCATTTCTCTTTATTTAAAAAAGTCAAGATTCATACTGGTTTAATATTTATTACGTGCTTTTTCAAATATCATCCAAAAAGTCTCTAATAGAAGATGCTGAAATCCACATAGGGAGGAAAAATGGTAATATCGCCCCCTGGTGACACTACCAACACTAAGAAAAAGTTTGTTCTTTTTTAAAGTGGTTAAAAATTGTATTTCAGTACCAATCAAAATGAAAATGCATTTTGTAATGATGTTTGTTTGTTGTTTGGTTTCATTCCAATAGTCTTGTGTGCAGAACAGCAAGTGCAGACGTTACAGACAGCGCTGACAAGTGTGATACAGGCTTCTGTGCATCTCTCCTCGTGTGTTTTTACCGCTGACATAATCCATTTCATATTTGAACAAGGGGTTGATTCAGTTGTGGCAACACTTGGCTCGTCATCTCTTTAGTGTGGAGAGTCAAAGCAGCCTTGAATCCTAATGCTTGGGTCGGCTGGGAATCCAACATGCAGCTCTGTAAGAGCTTCAAACTTTTATCAAGGACGATCCGTCTTTATTATAGATAGGCCTACTTGTAAAAAATGTTGGAAAATGACACATAAAGGTTGAAATACGATAGCCTTGAACCAAACACACAGGTATCTTGTGTAACAGAGTTTTTCCTTGTTCTTTCTCAATCTTTCAACTAATTAGACGTTTTACACCAGACCTAAAGGGTCTCGAATTCCCCGAGTTTCCTCTGTCTGACGGTTTTTCCTGGGTTCAGTATCTTGAGCCAGGAGAGCCCGTCCTTCTCTTTATCCCTCAGGATCAAGTGCTTGGAAGCCGGTTGATCTTTAGCTTCTTTTCTGCTATACTCTCCACAGCCTGAAGCCAGGACTTTATAGCCCTCATTGGATTATAAACCGAGTCAGTCTTTCCCCTTATGGGACTGCACAGACCATATTACCCTTTTAATAATGTTGAAATGGGGTCCATTTTATTTTTCTTGGCAGAAAGTCATGAAAGAGTTTGCTGATGAGACAGTTTCCTTATGGAATTATATCAGGGCCCTTTAGATCCTGAATGGAGGCCTGCATCACCCTATTCAGTGGTTAATTGTCTTAATTTAATATATTTAAAATCGCTTTTCTGCTAATATGAAACTCAGAAATGACTGGAATGGTCAAATGATTGGTCAGAAAAAGTCATGGATAATAGATCTATGGTAAAACACTGTCTGAAATAGAAACCACTGTTAATATAAGCTGAATGAACCTCAAAAAGGGTAATATTCCAATAATGATTTGGTTATTTTTCCACACAGGAACTGTTTTTCTATTAGTGTCTAGTACGATAGTTTAATTTCTTCTCCTGCATTTTATTTATTCATCTATATATATGAATTTTTAACTCACCACTTTCCCTCCTAGTGAATCCTTTTTGTGCATTCATCAGTCATTTATGTCATTAAGAAATAATATTTTGGTATAAAGCTTATCTTATTCATGCAATTATATGTAAGACTAGAATTGCATTACACACTCAGTTTCAATCTCTTTCCCACCAAACCAGGATTCCATGTATTCCCATATCTCTGCATAGTAAAGCAGTTTTAGCCACAATTACAACACCTCAACACAGAGTCATTTGCTGGACCTGCTTTCAAACACTCCGAGTGCCACACACATCCGTGCACTAATGGAATTATGTCAGCGTGTGGTTGTTTAAAAAAACGAGCGTCGGCCAACCAAAGCGAGCACCCTGGGAGACATTAGATGCATCCCAAAGCTTTTTCCTATTCTCCTCTTCTCTCCATGTCAGTTCATTCCCCGCAACCACATCCATTCCACTCCATTTCCCCTGGCTTGTTGGAAAAAAGTATTTGCCACATTGAAGAATATCCCAAACCAATTAGTGTGGAGAATACGTCACTGCCTCCTGCTATGATGGCAACACAATGCCAAATGAGCATGAAGGAAACTGGCTTACAAATGAGTTCTCTGTGGACTCTTAAATTGGCAAGTTCTGTAGTCTGTAGTTCAATTCAATCAGACGTTGCTGTTCCTCAAACTTAATGAAGTGATTTCAAAGACAAACATGTAGGTCCCATCATTATCCAAGTCATGCGACCTTCCTATTAGAGTGGATCGTTTTTGTCCCTATTAGGAGTATACATGTGATGTGATAACTTTCAGGTATTTTTTTGGTGTGGTACATTTGTGAGGACAGTTGAAAAGATTAAACAACATAGCATTGGTCAAAAGAGCCCTGCTGTTTTACTCTAACAGTAATGGACGTGTTCCAGAGTTATTAGTCCTCTAATTACCTGCTGAGAGCCCTCCTCATTTGAAGGGAAACCTTGTCATTATGTTGCAGTGGGTATGGATTGTTAAGTCTGGGCTAATCATTAAAGGTAAAAATGACAGTGTATCATTCAGAACTTATACAACCTAATACAGTTGCCACTTATAATCTTGACATTCATCCAGAACCAGAAACATGTATGCATTATGCTTCAATATTTATAAATAAAAAGATTTATGGAGATATAGAGTAAAGTAAAGAATATGTTTTTAATAGTCTAAAATCATATTATTGCTGAAAAACTATGATAGGTGTTTAAAATGCAGGAATTGAATAAATATGAATATTTAATTGTACCGCCGTGTGTAGTGGCTGTGTAGTATTACTATACACTTTATGTAACTTTGCTCACGTTTGTTCAATTACATAATATAAGGGATGAAAATCGTTCAACATAATTTCTCTTGCTGATAATCAGTCTCAAGAAACCCATGTGAGAATCTGTTTTGTGCATAGCATGGTATTGACATACTGTATTTTTCCCTGTAGAGAAGGAAACCCATTGATAAATAATTGTTCCTTTAAAGATTGTCATTACCCCAAACGTGTGGTGAAATAAGTAATATTCTGTTGGCAAAGTAGCCGCTATCTGATAAATAGAGGTTTAAAACAGAAACATTACTCTGTCTGCATTTACCTGGACTTTATTTCTGAAATGCAACAATAATATTGTTGTTTCCAGATTGTTCATGAACGAACCATCACAAAGCATCACATGTGTTGGGTTTCCTCCTTGGTTACAGAGCTTTGAGTTGAAGCCCTCAGATTTGCCTTCCAGGTAGAGTAAACTATGTGTTAGCTGGGACAGTGAAGTAAGAAAAAGATAAATCTAACATAATTTAATTTCTCTTCAACATTCGATAACATTTGTAAATACCAGTAGTGATGTTTTCGATGTATATCTTACTTGTACAGTCAGCATTTTTATTGCATTGAGTGCAAAATGATTTTAATATTACAATAAATTATGATTAACACCAATCAGCTAGGTCGCAAAACTGACCTCTCTAGTTAATTTACGTATACATTTGCCCCGGTTACTGCTACTATTAATTTCACACTAAAGGAGCACTGCTGAATTCAGCACCTTGGCTGTGAACTAATGAGATTTGTGATCCGCAGCCTGAGAGGCTGAACTCTGGGCATACAGAAAACCCATGCTTCATTTCAGCAGGGTAAGATTGGTTGCTAAAGCTAAGCTATCCGGTGTCAGTGTTGTTGCTAACTCAACCTCCAGCAAACTGCCGTATAGTTTGATATGATTAACAGTACAGCACGTAGCCGGCATGCTAGCTTGTTGCATACCATGCCCAAGCCAAATTACTTGCCCGGGTCAGCTAGCAATTGTGTGAGGGACGTGGAGTAATTGCCACTACCCGGTACCAGCAGCAGGGACGGGTTTTTACTAAAGCCGCCTCCTCCTCCTGCTGCTAGCCGAAGTTCCTCATCTGTGTGTGGATGAGGTAGTCGGGTGTTTGAGCTAGCTCTAACACACACCGAGGCGGTGGATACATGTCTACCCCTCAACCACGAGACAAGACACGAAAGGGACATTTTGCAGTTCATGTTTCGCCAAGAAGTCAGTGTGACGTCTTTTATTCCATCTTGTTCGTATCTTTTTCACTACGAGAAGAGGAATATGTCTAGATATAACATATACAGCCTGTTGGACTGGCTCTATGGCGGGGTGGACCCGAAGTTTGAGGGCAACGGGGGCCCGGACTGTGCCGCCTTCCTCGCGCCCCAGCAGCGCATCAGTGAAAGTCTGGTCATCGTCCTCATCTCTTTAATAGAGGTTTGCGTGGCGCTAAAGAAAATAAACCTCTCCAAAGAGCACCGAGTGGTGGGAAAAGACTGCGCGAAGGAGGACAGTCTGGGCAAGAACTTGTTGCTGGTGGCCCTTTGCATGACTTTTGGAGTGGAGGTTGGGTTCAAATTCGCGACCAAGACTGTGATCTACCTGCTGAACCCCTGCCATGTCATGACCATGGTTCAGGTAAGGATACTGTGTGCACTCCAAAGCAACAACCATTAAATTGATATGAACAGCTATTTGTATTCATCATCCTCTCTTCCAAACTTGCAGAGGTGAAAAAGTTCACCGAGTTCTTTCACTTGAGTAAAAGTGGTAAACCAGTTTAGAATAACTTTTTTACATGTAAAAGTTCTGCTTTCAAAAAATGAACTTATTTCAAGTACAAAAGTATGAGCATAAGTCCCAAGTAGACGTCCCATTTCACAAAATTAATATATTATATTTAAAAGTTTGATTCATTAATGTGTCAATCGGGTTTTGTATTATTGTGTTGCATTGTTGGAGAAGCCTGTGACCTAAGATTTTCAAAGACATAATTACTCTGTAGCTATGTTAGTTTGACATTAAAGAACCTTGAACCTTTATGTTTTTCTTAACCCATAATAATTAATGATAAGTTAGTTTCATTGTTATATCTTGTATAATGGATCTGATCCTGTTTTTTTTTTTAAGAAGCTAGTTTTCAAAAGAGTTTAAACTCATCCCTCTTTACTGTAGTGAGGGCAAAGCAAAAAGAAGCAGGACATGAACAAATATATACATTTTTTCTTTTGTTAATATTTAGCAGGAAATGGAAAGGTCTAAGTAAAATACAAGTACCTGAACTTAATACATAAGTACAGTGTTTCAGTGAACTTGGCAGGTGTCACTGGTTATATGTTAGATAATGTTGCCCCCATTTTCATCAGCTACGCCTAACCTCTCCCATCTACATGGTAAAACACTGAGGTTGGTATTTTTACAATCAGTGTTACCAAAGTACTTTTTGCTTCCTTTTTTATATGCATATCAACATGCTTTTCCTTTTTAGCTCTACAAAAACCAAAACTGTTGAACAAAAAAAGTTAAACTGCAGACATACTCCTTTTCTTATCTGGCCTTCTTACGTACACTTTCACAGCGCGAACATGGGTTGCAAATTCACAATAATCACAGTTGGTAAGCGGAAGTAGTCCAAACTGAAATCGCTGCCTCGTAAAAAGAATTGTTCCGTCAAGTTCAGCCCCTTAGGGTATGCGACCAGAGCTGGGCGTCATCTGATTTGAACAGGAATAGTTGTTTATGACTAAGAGGTGATTTTATGAACAGCTCTGAGGCTACTACTGAGGAGCATTGTAGTCTGAGCTGAATGCAAAAGTGCACAGGAAGCGAGTCAAGTTGGATTGATGTTGTTGTTTTGCATTTGGTTGAGTTTGAACCAGAGGTCGAAAACAGCACAAAGGTTCTCTGTCTCCACTTCCCCCATGAGTGTATGCAGCACCTGCATGTGTCTCCTGCTGCTCCTGACCTTCACGGTACATGATTGCACACCACGGGGTCATGGCAACGGATCACTGCCAACTGTGTTATAACGTATTTGTCATACACATGAGTTATGGAAAACAAGTTAAAATGATGTCCCCTGATTATTTCAGATGACAGGACAGTAGTGTTTGATAGATGGTGGAGAGGAATGAATAACTTTCTGTGATGAAGAAGTGACTGATAGGGGGGATACTTCCCTTCATGAATGGGTACCAAGGTTAAAATAATCCACAGCAGGCATTCCTCTTGCTTTTTGACAGTTTGGTGCAGGGGGGTGATACATATTTAGATCCTTTTTTAAAGCACCACACTGGGATTACTCCAGTATTGACACTTTTACATTTCACCTTTCTGGGTCAATTAGACTGCTGGGTAATTGTGTATACTACAATTTACTTTAGTAGTAATTACTGTTTTGCTAATTCAAACTCCTTTTATTTGCTGTTGGGTAGTTTATCTACGATCTGTAGCATCAATGTGAAAAACTGGAAAAACTGCCCTGTTTTTCAGCTTTGTGTGGATGCAACTGATCCTGAACTTAGGAAGTAGGAAACATTTTCAACACGTAAAGGAAAACTTGATTTCCCAGTTTATCACAAATATTCAAATGCATGGTTTTCATTGAACACGCTAATATGCCAAGTAACTAAAGCTGTCATATAAATGAAGTGCAGTATTGTTATTATTATTTCCATCTGAGATGTAAGAATTTTAACATTGCATAAAGTGCGATAGTAAATGACATGTACCTTTTTATTGTATGTGTAAGTACTTAGAAGTTATTGTTCTACCATCGGTTGAGTGTGATCGTAAGGGGAAATGTGCAGAAAAGAAGCAATGTTTCGAAAAAGGAAGAGGTGAAAGTTACAGTTTTCTTGCAACATTTCCATTTTGCTTTTGAGACAGGATAACTGTAAGGCAGAGTGTTTTTGATCAAAGGAGACTGCTCTGCAGGGATTGCCTCCAGGAGTTTATCTGTTCAGGGGAATAGGGCCTGGAGATTGACTGTATAATCAGAAACAGAGGTGCAACAGGGAGTGTGCTCTCCATTCTGGCTTTGTTATTGTTTGTGGGCATAATGTTGCAGCTGTCCTCCAGATGATTTCTCAACCAGAGGGCTGGAAGGAGAGTTAATGTTTGTCAAAGATTCAACAGCTTAGTAATGGTGAATGTTCCCAGGATGATACTTTGTGCGACTGTATTTAGTGTGCTTGTATTGACTCATTTTATAATCTGATAAAACCCACCAGTTCCCCATAACAGTTGGTGGATTTACAGTAAATGGGTGTGGCTTTCGTAATTGCTTTCAGACTAACCAAATCAAGATGAAGCTCCGTCATACGTATTGTCTCTTTTTCCTGTCTTCCCTTTTTTAGCTTGTTAACCCAGCAAGCATGCATAAAGACAGTGCACCAGGAAGTTAGAGAAGGTTATAGTACAGAATCATGAGCACATTTTACAGGCTGGAAAAGGTTTTCCACTTGTAAAGTTCCCATGATGCCTGGCTGCCTGGCAAAGTGTTCAAAGTCAAGTGTTGCTGTTGCTAAAATGTTCAGTCCTTCAGTAATCAGCACTGGCATCTACTTCACTTGTGTGTTGATAACATAGCCACTTGACTGTGTTGCTATGCTGCAGTGTCATTAAAGCAGCCCGTCTGCTAGATTGCTTCATTAGCATTGGCTTTTTTCTGAATAGTTTCAATATTATTACAAAATATTCACAGAACACTAATGCTTACTGTGTCGGTTGTCTTTTTAACTTGTAGAAAAGACACCTTTCAAGCAAAACCACTGCTCCATCTAAATGTAGTTGTCATGAAACTACTAGTCAGTGAAAAAAATGTATTTGTCATGCATAGAGTGGCTGTGTCCAGTACCACATGAGATCACACACACATAAAAAACACCAGGAGATAGAGCATCACTTGGCACAAGGTGGGCGTGAGGTGAAGAGTTCACTGTCCGCTGAGTGATGAGTCCAAGCCTCACATCCGACAACCATGATGTCTGTTTCATCCTCATGGAACAAGAGCAGGCCCACCGCCAAACTGACAGATGTCGGAAATGATTACTGACTGCTCAATTTGACTGTCATCCATGTTCATGTGAGTCAGTTCACTATGGCAGGGGCACAGTGTTTCTTGATATTGTTTTCTTGCATAATATCAAGATATTTAGAATGACTGCAGATTTCAGATGTACCCTAATAAACAAAACATCTAGATCAGTATGGTAAGCTCTGAAACCTATATCTTTACTGTAATGCAGGCTTTCAAAGCAGGAAAAACACTTATAATACAATATCAGAAATCTAGGATGATATCTACCGGTAGTCTAATATCCCAATATTGAAATGTTGCATAGCCCTGGTTGTGGGGGACAAACTATTTTGTTGGAAATAAGGCCCATTCAATGCTTACAGAGGATACTATACAACCTTTTTAAAGTAAGGTAGTAAAAGAAAACACTTTTTGGTTCATGTTCATCTGATTTATCAGTTGAACCCATTCTTTAATTCATTTACTATGTAGACAAGTTAGTTAAACTTTTCACCTCAAAGCAAAACAACTTAATTTGCATCTATCTTTACGAGTTGTCTGTGCTGACGCAAGTCAAAGCTCATTCACGTCTTCTTGTTTCACTTCTCACTGTATCAGCAATATAAATATATCAATGATGCGACAAATGTGAAAACTTGATTTGTTTTGCTGTTCCTATTTCTTTTTTTGAAAGGCCAATAATTGGTTGGCCAATAGCAACCGTCATTTGTCATTGCTGGAAAGTGCTGTCTAACGTACAGTATAGGGATGTTAGAATGGGTTAAAGAAATGTCACTGGCTGGTGTTTAAATGACTCACTGCCTCCTACAGGATTCTACAGTCATCTGGGTGGAATCTTTTGAACACACGATACTTAAGCTCTTACCAGACACATACACTCTTATCAAGTGAACTTTGTTACCTTGCACATATTGCCACAACTCCACTGATCCAATACAATCATGAGAGACACTCTGTAGACTCCAGGTGACAATATGTCAACCCTCCTCTAAAACAGGCAGTTGGCCTTTCTGCTGCAGCTTTGAATGGGTTTAATACAAGGTTTAAATACTGCACACTGCAGCAATGACCATAGAGACTTGGTGTTTTGTCTTTGCTTTATGGGTTGAAAGCTTGCCTATAACTTGAAGTACCGTGCCGTTAACAAGCTGTGCGCAGCAAACATGCACCATCAATATAACGGAGTATAGTATCAGCATTATCTTTAACGTGCCCTCATTTATCAGCTGTAGCTATAACCTAGGAGATTGTTTACTCAGTCATTCAGATCACTCTCAAAGCACTCAACTGTATCACTTAATGACTACACTTGTAAAAAGGAAGTACTGCTTATCCGTAAGGAGTTCTGTCAATCTGTACGCAATTGATTCAATTTTCAGTATACAGTCACACTCGTGTTGTATGCTTTTACTTAAAAAATACTGCAGAACTGTTTTTCTACAACAAAAATATAGTTATATTTGCTCTATACAACTCAAGGTCTACATAATCCACCATATCAAACCAAGTCACCTTTGACTTAGCATTTTCATTGTCTGTCTTTTATTCTTCTACCAAAAGCTTTGGGAGGCTGGGATTTGTGATGCATCTTATTTTGAAGTCTATTAAGTAGAATGTCTGCACCTCCAGATAAAACAATATTTTGGTTGTAAAATTAATGTCGAGAAACAAACATCTGAAGTCATTTCAGAGTCTTTAACTCTGCAACAGCACTGCCAGGGCTGCTCGGACTGTCATAAATGTGATCAAGCATGTGGAAATAATTTGGCCTGAATGGTTTATTTGAGCTGCAGAAGATTGTGAACAGTGTTTGGCTGACCATTGATACAGTGGTAACTCCTTTGCACTCAATATCTTTGTTTTATATACACTTGTTTGATACCAAGTAACTATCGACTTTCGTTTATACATTTTAAGAATGGCGTTTATCTTTTTTGAGAATGAGTTTTTATTTTATTTGTTTGGGTCTACAACAGATGATACAAATGTTTATGTCAGTAAATGTGTACTAACAGAGGCGGGGGTGTTTGTGAAAAAAACGGGGACAGAGCTGGCTGCTGTCAGACGATCAGCTGTGCGGCGTCGCTTCACGTGACGCTCCGGAGGAAAGGACGTCCCATTGCTCTTAAAACTCATTTCCCTGCTTCTTCTCCCTTCTCGTGGTTTCCTTGCATCTCTCCATGCTTCCCTGGTGGGAGGGACTAAGACGCAAGGAAAAGACGCAATTGAGGGACGCAAGGATTGAAGTTAAGAGAAGTGAGATGCAGCCAGGGAGATTGTGATTGGCTGTGACAACACCACCATCTTCTTAGTGCCATTCTGGAATAGCAAACAAATTCAATTAAAGAAATGTCCCCAGAAAAGAACCATTGTGTATTAAATACAGACTTTTATATGGGTATTTTAACGCTGAAATAAAAAGTGAATTTAATAAAGCTCGACTGGGGACCCCCGCTGTTTCCAGTTCTGCATTGCTCCTACAAGTCACTGCACTGCTTGATTGACAGGTCCATCATCAGTGTCTCTTCTTGACTTCTGAGCATACTGTTCCCAGCTTATACAACTCAATAGCTTTAATAACTCCCTCTCTCTTTCTGCAGGCACCCCCTGGTTATTTGGCAACATTAGTTCCCCTCCTGTTTCCTTTTATTTATTGTCTGCACTTTACAAAAGTCACACACCATTCTGGCCCCCTACTGACGTCTTAAACCTTTTGATGTTTTGTTATGTACATAATTTAAAACGGAGCGTTTTCTGCCATTTTGTCACGGTCTCAAAAGGCAGGTTTCAACCATACAGTCTATGGTTTCAACACTATAAGGATGATGAAATTATTATTTTTTGCCAAAAATGTATTTATTTCAGCAATTGTTGCCTCATTTTTCTATAAGTTGTTTTATTCATTCATTATCAAACACATGGCGGTTCCATATGAGATGAGGTGTGTAAAACAATAGTGGCTTACTTTAATAATACTTCACAGGGATTTGCAAGGCCTAAGAATGCACACATGTATTCTTCTTCAAACAATTGTATTAATAAATAAAGAAGCAATTTGCATGCATTGTTTTATTCCCCTAGAAAAAACATTTAAAAGAAAAAATATATTCATCTGAATTTACATTTGTACAAGAAAGAAATATTCACAGGAACAGGAACTTTTTTTTTTTTGTTCCCACCCTGCACTAAAAAGCTTTTGTTTGTTCCGATGGTGTCTGCAGAACAAACTTCCCTCTGTTCACTGTGCAGGTTAATAAGACTTGATGGGTGTGCTGTAGATCCATCACTAAGACATATCCCCTGGCCAGTGGAGACTTGTACAGAAGTAAATTGCTTTCTTGTAATTCTGTTTGCAGCCTCCCGGCAAACCAACCCTTTCTTGTGTCAGATGGTGTTTTGAACCAATCCATGTTTGCACTATCCTTAAACAGAACAGTCGCTGAGCATAGATGCAGAACTGGGATGATAAATTACAAAGTATCATATAATGTCATTCAATTAGAAAGCCAACATGTGCTGTTGTATTTGAAAGGAATGATTTAGAAACCATTTATAAACTGGCTTTCCCTTTTAGTTCTCATTGAATGTTAAAGGGGCCCTATTGTGCTTATTTTCAGGTTCCTTTTTGTTTTTGTGCCTTCACTGTGATGCTTCACATGCTTTAATGTTCAAAAATGTCTTTTATTTTTTTTCTCATACTGCCTGTGCTGCAGCACCTCTTTTCACCCTCTATCTGAAACCAGAACCCAGTCTGCTCTGATCTCTGATTGGTCAACAGGCTGGCTCTCTTGTGATTGGTCAATCACTTAGAGATGTCCCGCCCCTTAGCCTGTCACATAGAATTTGTAAGAGCGCTAGCCAATAGAAGTGCAAGTGTTGCATGGTGATGTCTGTTAATACAGAAGTCAACATAGTCCAATGGAGGCGTTTCAGGCAGGTGGGGGGGGACTTTGGGATTTTTGGCTTTGCAAACCATTTACATGCACACAATTCTTAAAAACGCAACAGGAAAGGGAAAAACCTCTTTAAATCAAATATCTGGAGCTTTTGTTAGTGTTTTTGGTAGGTCACTTGATTCTGCTATAAACTTAACCTGGACTCATAAGTTCAAGGTTTTAATTTATTATTAACAGTCATTATCATAAACTTAAAGCCTGACCAAAGCACGTCGGTCAATGGTCCAGGATTTATTCCCGCTCATGGCCTTCCTGCAACAGAAATTGATTATTCTCCTTCTCCCTGTTCCATGTGCAATGAGTTGTGGATGGTTTCTATCGACAGGCCTGTTTGAAATCAGGCACTAAAATACATTTATGCCATCACTTGTCAGCCATTCTAATGCTTTCAAATCTACAGTAATTGTTAGACCAACCTCCTGGGTCCCATCTGAACTCGGCATTTTGTTTTCTCATTTGAAGCGAGAAGCACTTAACAGTAGCCTCCGCTCTTATTATAATAAAAATGCGTTAAAGCAATTTGTTTATTTTCTTCATATTGCTTTAGAGGCACTAAAGATGTGTGATGATGCACTTTGTCATCTCTCTGTTCTTTCTTCAACAGATCTTCCTGCTGGCCTGCCCGCCATGTAAAACAGCAATGGTTGTATTTAGGTGAGTATTTCCCCCCCTGGCTCCTTTTGGTGTTACATTCAGTCAAATTAAAGAATGTATTGTGTATATATCATTAAAGGGTCACGACTCTGTGTCAACAAACCGTAAGATGTACCTGCAGAGAATGTAATACAAAATGATTGGGAAGACAGACCCTAATTATTTGTATTGTCATATGAAAAGCAATTGCCACATTGATCGTAATTACTTGTTGAGTTTTATTGTAATAGATTTGTTGGGGTTTAAAGTCGTCACGCCTCACCAACTGTCTGGGCAGTTAATTATTCCAGAGAATGATAGTGTTTTTGCCAGTGGGAAGTTGGATTTACTCTGAAATAAATACGAGCAGGGTCACTTTCTGTTTCCTCAGCCCTATGGGAGTCCGATGCAGCTGCAGTGAGAGGTTTCATCAAGGCAACAGAAGCTACCTGAAATGACTATAAAGTAGCTAATTAAATAGTGAGTCTGTGAATCTTCTTTCATATTTGGAAAACAAAATTGTTTAAGTACGTCACTTCAGAAAATGACATTGATCCTTCAGGCCAAGATGTTCTTTCTCATAATAGACTATGTTATATAATACTCAGGATTTTGTCTCAACCGGGTGACAGGGGAGCTTTGCCCTCTTACTTTAGGTGCGCCCTCATACCAAAATGCAGATATTCCTCGTAACATTTTAAAGTGATGACAGAAAACAATATTTCTGTTCGTCAAAAACTGTAAATCGTGTCAAATAGACTGTCAGACAGCATAAACAGCTTTGTTTTTACGGAGCCATCTTCTATACGGGCACTATGGTCTCTTGAGAATCTATATATCTTGTATACAAAATCCGCGCCACAGTATTGTCCTCATACTATATTTTTCTAGAAAAACCCTGATACTGTTTCAGCTCGCCAGATATATTAAGTGTATTTCCCTTGAGAAATAATGTTATGATTTCTTTGACATTTGTTTAAACGTGGCATCTGGGAAAAAATCCCGCAGATGATGGCTTTAATAAAAACATAGGAACTTTTTTGAAAAACAAATGCTTTAAATTGTAATCCTGTTGACTCATAAAGATTTCAGCACTGGTTGATTTTGGCGTGGTAACCATAGCAACAGCAAGTGCGGTTTAGAAACTACAGAGAAAACTCCTTGAGCAGCTGCTTTGTTAGAAATACAACAGGGAGTGAAAGTAACCGGTGTATCTGTTTAAAATGCAACCACACAAACTCTCATTTCAATAGAGAAGCGGGTGACTAATCAGCTTTATTCTCTCAGGCCATGAACAAAACAGCAGGGCACAGTGAAAGGAGTCGTTTCATAGCAGCCTTAGTACTAAATCTAACTGCTGCTCTTGTGAATCTCTGCAATATATAAAACTGATCCGCTGTAACTAAAAAACTCACTGTCTGCGCTGACCTGAGGGACAACATTTTATTTTTTTCTGTGACTCTTTCAAAAACAAGTCCCCGTTATAAGAGGCCCTATAGAGAACCGCAGTGACGCGTCGTAAAACCCGGAAGTAAACTTCTTCCGGTTCCTTCTTGAAAAACCAATGCAAATTCTCAATAGGATTTTGGAAAATAGCTCGAAATAAGGTCTGTGGTTGACACACATTTAAGAGAGGGATCACGTTTTGTTCAGCCGGATAATCTCCACATGTCAACCCTACTTTTATAATTTTTGAATCATAAATCTAGTCGCCAAAACGGGATGCTAACGTTATGCTATAAACGAACTACAAGCCAGTACA